TTTTTTTTTTTTTTTTTTTTTTTTTTTTTTTTTTTCAACAGTTGGCAGTCTAAAGAGCATTTACCAAAGCAGAAATACTCAAGGGAAAATTTGTATATATTTTTATCCTAATTTTTCCTTCTCCTTTTTTGATTCAATAAATGTGGCTACACAGAAATGAAACTAGGCAGTAAAGGAATGTTCTGCATTAGCTAATGGTGCCTATGTGCAATACTAACATCCTACCTCTTATAACCCTTACTGACCAAGAGTTTCAGAGTGCTTGACAGAAATCTAATCAAAGCCAAGCAGCTGTGTAAGATAGTGTAAACTGAATCATACAAATTTCAACGATGCGTCCAATTAACACTTGTGGCCTTGTCTCTCAGTCTCTTGACAACCAGACAGCAATGTTGGTTGGTGTTTTATCATGCCATTCAACAGAACACAACAAATGCTTTAAATTTTATTCTTTGAGCTAAAAACTGGAACTCCTGGATTCATCTGTGTTTTCATAAACTTGATATGCTTAAAAGACTTGCTTTGGCCTTAGAAGGAAGGAACTCCTGATTGACAAGGCTGGCTTCTGGGACTCATGGGAAGCAAAAAATAATGCATTTTTTTTCCTTTAAGTTCTCTGGGAATGTCAGAATGATTGAAGCCCCAGAGCAGGTCTGTCAGATAAATTTAGCAAATTCTCCATGTTAATAACTGTAATACAAGGCTGGAAAGGAAAACCCATTAGGAAAATAATAGTAATGAGCAAACATTTTGTATCTAATGATGCATACAATTTACCAAGAAAGTAAAATAAATAGAAATATTGGATATATTTGTGATCAAAGAACAAAGTAAGATGGACATCAGCTGGTTTCACTAGAAGCTTGAATCACTGAAAATCATTCCCCTGTTTAAGCAATAAAATGTTGTATTTCTAAATACCCCTTAAAATGCAAAAATGGGATCTCTTCTAGCAGAAGTTGAAAGGCTGTTGCTTTTAATTGTCATTTGCACTGGTTAAAATTAAAAGTGCAAATTTATGTGTACACAAATATGCACGCACATGCTGTGCTCTGTGGATTGTCTATTTTATGTCCAGCCTCTGGATATTGTCATATAAAAGAGGAATGTTTTTATTTTGCGAAGGAGGTGCTCTTAAAAAGCAGCAAAGCACACCAGCCAAGGGCAAAATAGCAAGTTAATCTGTCGTAAAGCAAGACATGGAAATGTGTTTCTTCTCATGTGTGCAGAAATTAGTTCAGTAAATATCTTTACTTGAAATAACGAAAATCCAAGAGCTGATCCCTCTACTTACCCCAGTGATGTGACTCATTTATAGATAGGAAATTTCAACAATAACATAACAGTTCTTCTCAGTCGCTTTTAATTTTTCAGCTATTAGAGTTGTTTGGGGGTTTCTTTTTTTTTTCTTTCTTTTTTTTTTCTTTTTTCTGTAGAAGTGGAAAACTAAAAATGTTCATTTCATAAAATAAAAGCAGTGCGATTTTAGTAGTTCCAGGACACCAGAACATGGGGAATGATAAAATCTTTTGGAAGACTTGCAGTGGAGACATGGTAGAGCTGTCTTACACAACAGAGCTATCTGGCATCTGTCCCACTGTAAAAAAGGGAAATAATTATCACAGAAGAACAGCATCACTTTTGCCTCTGGCTATGTTCATCTTGACAAAGGTATTAATGCCTCAGAAAATGGTAACAGAATGGGAAGGCACCAGGAAGGCTGGGACACGCTGGTCGGTCAGGAACAGAGTGCCATTTGCTTACAAACTTAGGATCTGGAAACCTATGAGGTATGGAGCTGGATTTCAGGAAAGTTTGGGAAGGGGAAGATGGCTGAGGGCTGGAGAAGAAGCTGAAACTGGGAGGCATGAAGCAAAGAAGATAATGTGGCAGGAGGATAGCAGCCATATCCCAGTAAGAGAGCAGCAAAGAAGTGAATGATGTTCATGGGTAGCTGTTGTACAGGGTAGGAAGCTACCTGAGAATGGAGCAGAGTTCACTGAGGTCAAGCCCTTCATGCCTGCCTTGCTTGCAGCTCTGTGTATGGCACCTTTCCCTTTGGTACATTAAGCCTTGGTCTTGCTAAAGCTTAATGAAACACACAGTGTTACTCACCAAAGTGAAGCGGTGTGGCTGCAAAAGCCTTTGCAATGCAGGCTGTGAGCAGGCCCATGACTTGTGGAGAGGCAGCTGCTGAGCAGCATGTTGTGTCTGCAGACAGCTCCTGCAGATACAACCCAACAGACAACCCAAAGCTCTGCAGACCAACATCACACGTGCTGAAATCCATGCAACAGGGCAGCCATGCGCATGCTTAGGTCTTGTTGAATTGAAGGGAATTAAATGTCTTCAAATTTCAATGTGCTGCATCCAGTGCTTTACTGGACAGAAGTGAGCCTCAGGGCTAATGCCTGTGTCAGAGAGGCACGTAGCCTCTGTGCTGTTCTGCTGAAGGGAGGAGAATTTCTGCCTCTAAAATAGCTTTGGGACAGCAGCAGTTGAGTCAAATGCTCACAATCCTCGCCTCTATGTTTTAGCTGTATTCAAATGGGCGCGCATTCCATCTTAGTGCTTGCTCAGTTCTGCATCTCCTAACAGACTGTCCCAAAGCTCCCAAATTTTCAAAGAGTTACATGGGGATTTATCCAGCTAAATCCCATTATAGTCAATAGGAGCCGGGTGAATAATTATGCTGCAGATCTTTGTGAATAGCAAGGAAAGTTGCCAGTTACTGCTGATTACGACAGTGACTTTTTGTAGAAATAGATACACGTGCCTGGTGGGAACTGAACGTAGACCACCAGGTTACTTCATGTATCAGTGCGGTTTCCGTGTTTACTCCGTGTGTCACTTCAAAGAACCAGTGTTGATGACTTCTGGTCCACTGTGTTAACAGTCCGTCTCCTCTCCTTCTTCCGTCGTTTCCCTTCACAATCTGAGCAACAAAAAATGGTGGTGTAAATAGAGCTCCAACAAAGAGCTCTGTTGAGCGCATAATGCTCCCCTGAAAGGAGGCTGTCTAGGGGATGAATGGGACAGCCTCAGCCCAGCAGCGGCAGGGAAATAGATGACGCGGCATTGGGCAGCAGCAGCCAGCAGGGTGCATATGCCCAGTGTAGTGACAAATAATGGTGAAGCTAGTCAGTTGGAGGACTAAATGAGAGTGCATTGTCTAACCCTGTAACCGTAACTAAATTGTAACCTGAAAAGAGTTTATAAACATCTGGCTGCTGGCTCATCTCTAAAACTTCATAGCTAAATCTGAGGTGGAACATTTTGTAAGTCTGTACCACTTGGAGATATTACAGTCTTCAGGAGATTAGTGACATTTCAAGATTATAGCATATATTAAGATGTGGTTTGAACACCTCTTCTAACTTTTCCTATTCAATCAGTTTTTCTAAGACCAACAATTATGATTGATGCTATTTCCATTTGGAAGCATAATCATTTGGAAACTCATTTTGGCTTCACAATATTATGCTGCTAATCTGATAGCTCTGTTCAGTATTTCAAACAGTACTCTAGCCCAGTGATATACTTTAATTTCACTAATTGTTCTATTCATGTATTTATTCAGATGCTCACCTGCTTAAGCTCAAGTGAAGCAACACATCTCTATGTTTTGATTTCCCCCAAATTTATCAGTGGAGGGGCACATTTCCCTGTTCACTTAGATTTTATTTTAATATTGTATTTCAATAGCAATGAAAAGAATATATCAGATTAATAAGCATGTGGTCTCCTATGCAGAATGGCTTTTCAATCTTTTTATAGCTCTCATTATTAGTAGGATAACATCAATGTGCTCCACATTTGTGTTGCAAATACTTAGAGTATAGTTGGAATCATTTTCTTATTACTTAAATGATGCACTGTCGCAGCACCAATTGGAATTCCTGTAGGCTACAGCTCACAAATTGTTTCATTTAGTAAACTTCATTTATAGGGCTGCAGAAATAGTTGCTGGGTTTGAAAGTATTTTGGCAGCTGAAATGAAAAAAAATTGTTACAGACTGAATGGAAACTTCATTTCTTCAGAATTGTCAGCACATCACCATTAATTGATTTGGGGTTATTCAGTTCTTATTTATTTATTTATTTATTTATTTAACACTTGGCAAACTGTTTCATTTGGTTTTCAGGTACATTCAGTGAAAGGAGAGGATGAGATCATAAACACGAGAGGGAAGTAGTTCCAGCTCTCCTGCTGTATCTACTGGTTGAGTGAGTAAGGCAGCTTACTTGGGATGCTAATAACTTAAAATTCAAGACTTTGAAGTACTTCGAGATTGTGGTAAGGGTCACCTAACACTCAAGTGAAAGCCTTACCATTGGGATCCAAACTGATAAACAATGAAAAAAGTCTAGCAATTCATATTTGGTTAAGACAGATGGTGTATTTATTTTTTATCCTAAACATCCATTAATACCCTAATTTTTATAACATTTTTCCAAGAGACTTCTGATCAGGAAATCTGTGAGCAGTTCTGCACATTTTGGAAAATGTGTTAAAAAAGAGAAAGTAACCCTTCACAAGCTATTTTGAGTTGTTGGAGTTTTTTTGCTTTTATTTTGGCTTTTTTTTTTCTTGGGGGGCAGGGGGGAGCTCCCCATACTATTTTCACTGTCTCTGTCTCTGAAGTAACCTAACTACTAACGAGGCATTACTTTTCAGTCTATCCAAACTGCATGCATTTTACACCGCTCTTGGGTATTCTTCCTGCATTTTAGCATTCTTAATTAATAAACTTTATTTCTTTTTCCTCTCTATCTTTTTCAGGACATTTTTTTCAGGCTTGATTTAAAGATGCATCTGCTATGTCTTCGTTGTTTAACTCTAAATGCCCCCAGAAGCAAGCAAAATACAAGAAGAGGAAGCTTCTTCAGGTGCAGACCTAAGTGCATGCAAACTTCGGTCACTCAAGGTCAAGCCTAGCAAATCTGACTATTCCCAAATAGCCAGATTTTCTTTCCCCCCCACTTGCCTTCCCCCCTTCAACCTCCATGCTACCTGTAGGATTTATACTGTAACAGAGAGAATAAGCAAGAAATGTCAGATTAACAACTGCGTTCTGGGTTTAAGGTAGCAGCTTAAAGGTGAGGTGAGTCCTTTCCCCAAACTGGGGGTTCACTGTGATCTGTTGCATCCCAGTTTCTAAAGATAAAGTTGAAGAGCCAGCCTTACTCTGCTTTCCCAGGGATTTGCACTCTTATCTCTAGTCATTGCTCACCAGCACTCTTATCTGTCAAAACCTTCTCTGCTGCCTTAGCAACATGCATCCAGGCTCTCTTCCAGCTGACATAAGCTTCCTGCCACCTCCTGATGACAAGTGCTCCCAACATTTCCAGCTGTCAGCCATTCAGCATCTGCCGCTCATGTCACTGGGCTCTGCACTTAGCCATTTGCCTGATGCTGTGCAGTGACAATGACAGCACCCTGACTGCAGTCTGTTGTCTACTTCTGTGTTCAGGCACTGACAGTCAGGGTTACTGTTTTTAATTCAAGGTAGCTTCTGCTGTTTTATTTCTATGCAAGTACATGTTTTCTTCCTACTTTATCAGCTATTTAAAGTACTATCGTAGATCAGTAGCTTCAGTAGAGAAGTATCAAGTTTACTCAAAATGTTTCTCTTCTCATTGGATTTTGAGCAGGAGCAGCTCTTCTCCCTGGTTCTACCTTTTCATCTATTTATTTATTTATTTAAAGCTGTTTGTGCACTATCCTTTCAGTAGTATGTCAGAAATGGCACATCAACTAGATGAGAATCTCACTCTGAGTTAGATAATGCTGTTACAATACTCACCAGCACCTTATTCTTATCTCTTTTTTTGAGTGTTTCTGTGTGTTAAGTTTTCCACAACCTCTTCTAGTTTCTCTTTCTACTTGAGAGGATCAAAGATAGAATGAGTGTGGGAGACAGACAAGCAGGAGGGGAGCTCGTTCTGCAAACGCAGTGAGCCTGGGCCTTGGTGCTCCACTTATCAAGATTACTGAAAAGCAAAAAAGGTGGCTGGGCTGAAGTCCTGCTATTAGGATATTCTTTTTCTGACTTACCTGCAACCATGGAGCAGTTCACATTTAGACACAAAATGCTCATGTTAAGTTATTGTTAGTAGTTACTGGTAGGCAAACCTAAACTAGGTTGCAGAGCTGTACCAGCATAGGAGATGTGGTTCTAGATGTTTCACGTGATCTTCTCTAGCTTCACATTCAGTCTTTGCTCCACATTCCATTTTGAGAAATGTCATCATGTAGGTGACTTCATAATGAACCTGACGAGGGATGTGAAAAATAACAAGGGGTTCTTCAGGTACGTAACCAGTAGGAGACAGACTAAGGACAGTGTTCCCCCTGTGATAAATGAGGATGGAAAACTGGCTTCCTCAGACATGGAAAAAGCTGATATAAAAAAAAAAAATCAATAAGTGCTTTGCCTCAGTCTTCACTAGTGGTCAGGCTCCTCCCCATGTCTGCTAGGACCCTGAAGTTCTGGGTGTGGGGGAAAGGAGTGGATTACATTCCACTGTAAAAATGGAACAAGTCCAAGACCTCCTTGTGCATTTGAATATATATAAGTCCATGGTCCATGCATCCCAGGGTTCTGAGAGAGATGGCTGGTGTAGTCGCTGAGCCCTTCTCCATCATATTTGGTAACTCATGGTTGTCTGGTAAGGTCCCCAGTGTCTGGAAAAAGGGAAAAATTACTCCCATTTTTGAGAAAGGTAGAAAGAATTACCCGGGGAACTACAGGCTGGTGAGCCTCACCTCTGTGCCTGGGAAGATCATGGAGCACATCCTCCTAGAAGCTATGTTAAGGCACAGATGAGACAAAGAGGTGATTCGAGATAGCCAGCATGGCTTCACTAAGGGCAGATCGTGCCTGACCAATCTGGAGGCCTTCTATGATGGAGTGAGGCATGAGTGGATGGGGGAAGGGAGTCGGATGTCATCTACCTGGACGTCTGCAAAGCCTTTGACATGGTCCCTCAGCACATTCTCTCTAAATTGGAGAGGTGTGGATTTGAAGGATGGACTGTTGGATGGATGTTGGCTGGATGCAGCCAAAGGGCTGTGATCAGTGGTTCTGTGCCAGGTGGAGGCTGGTCACAAGCGGTGTCCCTCGGGGTCGGTCTTGGGACCGGTGCTCTTCAGCATCTTCATCAATGACAGATGATGGCATCGAGTGCAGCCTCAGCAAGTTTGCAGATGGCCCCAAGCTGAGCAGTGCAGTTGATGCATTGGAAGGAAGGGAAGCATCCAGAGGGACCTGGGCAGGATGGAGAAGTGGCCATGTGAACCTAATGAGTTCAACGAGGCCAAGTGCAGGGTGCTGCATTGGGTCGGGGCAACCCCAGGTATTGATACAGACTGGGGGAAGATTTGCTTGAGAGCAGCCCTGCGCAGAAGGACTTGGGGTCCTGGTGGACGAGAAGCTGGACATGAGCTCTCAGTTCTTGACTGAGGGACTGATTTCAGTGCAGCATTTTCTTATGAATATCTGAAGTCTGCTTCTGTGGAGAAGTCAGGACATTCTATTTCAGTCTCCTGTTAAGTCATATATTCTAGTGAAATGCTGGAACAAAAGAGTTAAGGTAATTTTAAAACTTCAAGCTTGTTGGTGAAACTGTGATACCTCTATATGCTCACATTTTCAGCAGTCTAGATCTTGTTTCCAAAATTCTTGGATGCCAAGTATATTAAATATTTTGAGGACATATGTGGTATCTCAAGAAGTGGATAAACTTCTATGAGCATATAATAGCATTAGATACTACATTATGCTGCCTCCAACAAAAACAATTTTTAGTCCTGCTGTTGTGTAACGTACTTGAAAATCAAAAGCTAAGTATATGTTGGGAATAGATCTTATGCTTCAGTTATGTGGATGCTTGAAAATCCATGTTCTGTTTTAAAAACCCCCATAGTAGTAAAAAAAAGAAAAAAAAAAAGAAGCACTGAGCACTATTCATATCTCTGGGATATTGCAGAGTTATAGATCATAGAATGTATAAGATTCTCTTCAAAATCGTTTTCTTCCCTTTCTCAAAACAAATTAATACCCCTCACCCCTAATTCTTAAATTACAGTACGTCTTTCTGATTTTTTGGTTTGCCCTAGTTTTTGAAAATCTACCTCTCTAAACACTTTTGCTTCACCTATTACACCTAAACTATTGTTTTGCTTAGTAAAGTGGCCTAACTTAATTCAGGTTTGTGCCTCAGAGTAAATTGAAATGATTAATAGCTCAGTGTGTGTGCGGTGATATGAACCCTCCAGCCACTAAAGCGCCTTATCGTAGGCATACACATTCTTTGTTATGTCTGTTCTGTAAGACATTGAGCACAACACCTAACCTTTGTCGATTTGTCTTTCTGGACAGCTTTCCCGTGCCTACAGCAACTGGTTTTGAAGTTAGCTCCACCAGCTGTGCTGCTGTGCAGCTTTCTGTGTTGGATGGTTATTTTTGACCAGCTGCAT